TGAAGTTACTCAGTACTACCCGTACTCAGTTACAAGTGTAAATCCATGTAAGGTGGTTTCATGGTACTTCGGGCTGGTCCACTGCCTGGCTCTTCACTAGGTCTACATGAATGATAAAACTGTGTGACAGAGTTGGGAAGGGGGGTGAAAAAAGGAGAACGGGAAACTGGAGTTCAGTGTTCTTGTTTTGTTATGCAATTTCTCGATAGTTACAGGTCTGTTAGCTTGCAAAATAAAACCTCATTAATATTTTTGTCAGTCTTCATTTTTAGAGGCTCAAAATCATGAAATATGTTAGCTTTTTTTGAATGTATGGAATTCAAGGAAATTGTATCTTCCCACCTGCAGTTTCCTTCTGCATCGTGCCACAGGAGCAGTTCAGGAACGTAAGCGGGAGGAAAGGTGCAAGTTAGAAGGGAAAAATGAGGTAAGGTAGGGAATACTCTGTGCCTTCTCTAGCCTAATAGCTGGAGCTAATCTGGCACCTGTCACACCTCACCCTACCACACTAGGGACATGGGCAGAGACTGGAAATTGTGCTCCTGAATTCTGTCAGCACGGCACTGAGAAGAGAGGGTGGCTGAAGGGCCACATAGTCAACAAGTTCTGTGCTTGCTTACCTACGTGGGGATTTTTACCTCTAGTCATAGCCAGACAGTGGTATTTCACCTGCACGAGTTAGCTACTCTGTTACTACCAAAGAAAGGGATAGGATTTCCACTTGGATTTGGAGCATCTGATCTTCTTCATTGAAAAACTGGCTAATGCTTAGGTACAAAAATCAACCTAAAGTATGTGGTATGAGCCCCTCTACCCCTGTTCTGTCTGCTGATGGAAACATATGTGATCCTTTCAAGATAATACTAGGTAATGATCTGTGTGTGCAGATCATTTTGAAATACGTATAACTCGCTCATGCTTGCCGTATCAACTCTCAGATTCCCATAATCTTCCTTCCCCACTTAAAAAAAAGGGCTGCACGGGCTGAAAAGGGAATTGCACTTTGTTCAGTTTTTGTGGCTGCTAAAATCCAAACCTGCTGCCGGTCAGTCTTCTTGTGCAGAGTTCCTCTGTTGCAGTTGTAAGCACCAAAACAAAATGACACACCGTTTGCATGAGTAATAACTGAAATCTTACACACAGCTCACCTGTAGTTCAGCAGTGGCCAGAAAAAGCATTAAAAAAAAATAAGTAGCTTCACACGTTTTGTGATTTGCCATACATCTGATGCTGTTCGCAGCTGCTGAACTGGTGTGACCATGTAACTTTTTAAGACTGTGCAGACACCTTTGCGACATTTGTCAAAAAAAGTGTCATGACTAATAGGAAAAAATACACCTGTTTGCCCTTACACTGATCTCACTGTCTCAGCACGTGTGCGCTATTGTCCTGCTGAGTAGTTGAGACTCTCCAGAGCATCAGGGTCTTGCCAGGGAGAAGGTGGCAAGCTGGAGATGGGTGGGGAGTGGGAAGACCTGCAGTTGGTATGGGAGCTGTGTGGCATTCGCAGTATTTTGGCATGGTAGTGGTGAGCAGGAAGGCAGCCTGGACAGAGAGGAGACACCTTCACAGCCAGCCCCATTCTTTGCTGCTTCTCTTTTACACCAAGGGTGTAGATGTAGTCGAGGTTACTGAGGAAACAATAAAATCAACCTAATGTGCCACAATAAAAATTCCAGTGATAAAACACAGCCATAGGATCTCTTTCACTCCCAAACCTGGAGACCTCCAATTTCAAATAAGTATTGAAAGTATGATAGGCTTTGTATTAAATTTGAGTTGAGTTTGCAGGATCTCTGGGAGTAGACACAAAGGTCCTGATTCAGAAAAGAGCGTGCATCTCCTTCGCTCCCTCTCTCTGAAGGAAGCCTTAGCACTCCGAGTATGTCGTTGAACAGGAAAACGCCTGCATAGGAGAGGATGCAGAGCAAGTGCTGCCTTCCCATGGTTTACAGGTGAGGCATAAAGTTTCAAGCAGTATCACTGAAGTCCCACAGAGTAGCCTCAGACCCAGGGCAGAACACCATTTGCCAAGGCTGGGGACAAAGTACATGTGAAATAGAGATGATGGGGGGGACTGCCACCCACAGCTGGAGATTTGATTTGCTTGTCACTGAATGAGTGTCTGCAGAGCCACTCCTGGGCTTTACTGTTCGTTATGTACATGGGACAAAAGTCATTCTTTATTGGTACACAGAGAGGTTGCAACATAAGATGAGATGCAGTACTGGAAAGCAACAGCTAACAGTAAATGTGTTTGGCTGCACCCTTTCTAAAAGTCATCTTTTGGTTTGAAGGAGGGAATATTGAAGTTTATCGTGGAGGGGAAAGAAAGTAAGTATATGTGACATCTATTGGAATAAATCAGGAGGGCTCAGACAGTGTGAGTTGAGAGCACATGGAGGCAGGAGGGAAAATGGGATTGTGGGGAAAGGAAGGTCCAGAAACACAGAGGAGTGAGAAAAGTACAGGCTGGAAGTGAGCGGAGAAGTTAGCAGCACATTCAAATCAGATGTTGGAGAGAGATTAGTAACCATTAGAGTCCAGAGCTGGGAATTTTATGTGGAATCTGATGATTCCTTATTTCTGCCTCTGATAATACAGCTTACATGCCTGCTGTCGATTGATGTTACCCAGGTCAGCATCCTTTCCCTAGCATCCTTGGAAAACGGAGGAGCTCAGAGGAGCGGAGAGTGGAAGAGGCAGGGCTGAGGAGGAGGAGGAGGAGAAGCGGTTGAGTCCCAGTGTCCTTGAATGGCTACCACTGGATCTGGAGGGAGAAGCTGACAGCCTGGCTCTTAATCTTGCTCCTGCAGCCGCGTTTGGCTGTTGGCCAGCTGGAGAGTGAATCACTGAGGCTGATACAGACTTTCAGCCTTCCTGCAAAAGCTTTTAAATGGTTTTCTGTTTGATATGCACCAGATAAGGCCAGGGCTCCTGCTTGCCTGCATGATCTTCAGGTTTCTAACTCTTTCTGAGTTAAGATCACATTAGAAAAAATGACTTATAAAGTGACATCCAAACTTCGTTCCTTGTTACTCTTGTGTTAAATTTGCTATACTACTGTATTTTCCTCACTGCTGGGATGGGAAATTCACTCTGTAATGTGATATCCAGCTGTGGTATTTTTGCTTCCTACATCACCGTGAGTTTTTTAAGGCTCCTGCCTTCCACACACAGCCTAACAGGGAACCACGAGACAGCAAATGCTTCATGGCTGGTCAGGTTTCGCAGTACCAACAAGAGTAAAGCTGCATTTCCACCGTAAAACAAAGGTGCTTCAAAACCACGCAGAGAAAAAGTGCTCTGAGGAGAGGTGATGCCTGTTTTGCACAGTGGTGGAAAAAGGCTTCTGGTTTCAGGTTCTTGGTGCATTTTAAATACGTTGAAGGCGTACTAGTGAGTGGCTGGGCTTCGCGTGGGTCACTTGCTCGGGTGCCAAAGGAGTGATTGCGCTGCCAGTACCTGCTGCTTGCGCACAATGAATACAGCTCTGTAAGAAGCTTGGGAGCTAAGAGGTAATTTCTTACAGGAAGGCTAAACAGGTTTACCTTGCAAGAAAGCTGTTGGAAGGCAAGAAACTCACAAAAGCCAAATAAGAAAGAGAAGAGAAAAGAGGGAGAAAAGCAGAACAGGAAAAATCTTTATTCCCCAGATTTTATGAGCCCTCATGGATTTTGTGGAGTCGCGTTAGGAATGCATAACTTTGATCTTTGTCCCACTCATACACTAGCATTTCTGAGCTGATGGCAGGGCAGAATTGGCTCCTGTGTAAGACTGCGTTCTCTTGGCCTTTTAGGTGATGACAGCTATCTCCATTGCTCACGGTATGTGTATGTTAAAGGAAAAAAATAAAATTTCTTGTTTTATTATTCTTTGTAAGCCAGCAGCATCAAAGGAACGAGCTGCCCTCAACTGCTCTCACAGCTGCTGCCTGTGTCTGTGCTGTATATATGCTAAATTAATTGGAAAAACAGGGACAAAAAGGCATTTAGTTCAGGTCAACCAGTTAGACTACAGCAAATGCATGACAGGCTGAATCATTGTCTTTTGCCAAAGAGCAGGTTGGCAAGGGCAGGCACTCGAACCCCTTCTGATGAAATCTGGACTTTTTCCAGTGCCTTTGGAGGTGGGATGCTGTGAGAAAAGGGTCTCCACGCAGAGCCCGGATGCTGTCATATCAACAGGGTGGGATGATGGGGAGTGTTATAGCAGATTATTTATCTTTTGTCAGCTGTGAACTGAGTTTTCAGCCTTGGTTCATCACAGCTTCACACACATAGCCTGAGAAGGCACCACAGCCCTCCCTTCACAAGAATGAGGTAGTTAATTAATGTGGTCTTGTTAAAGGCATTGGTCTCTGGTGCCATGCTAAAAACAAACATATTCAGCAATCTTTCTTCCTTTGCCACCAAGTTTTCTGCATCTTTCATGGGAAGGGACGTCAACAAAAAAATGCTCCAAAGGACCCAGCTGTCTTAATGGCTTGCAGAGTTTTGGGTCTTCTGAAATGACTTCTGTATAAACTTGCAGGCTTGCACTTTCAGGAAAAGTAAGCTGGCAAATGAAGGGAGTGGGTGCAATGTAGCTCTCAAAAGTATTTTTCCAATAGCCACATGATTTTGAAGATGCAAATGATTCAGCATCTCAGTATGTCTTCCATATTGCAGCAAGAATTAGTATGTCATGTACAGGGTGCATATTTGACACTAATTAAAGTGGTTTCTTGCTGAACTTTTTTATATTGAGGGATGTAAAGACTAAACCAAATATAAACTCAGGTTAAAACTGGTCAGAGAAATGTTGCTAATAATGGGTACAGAGAAGAATTCATTTCCTATCCTTTTTCTTTCCAGGCAGTTGACTTTAGTGGAAGTTATTACATGTGCAACCCAGTTGTTATTCTTCAAGAAGTGAATGTGTTACCTTTACAGTATTTTTATTTATCATACAGATAACCTGGCTGGTTTTTGTTTGTTTTTCTTTCTTTTTTCTTTCAGGCCTTCTGCCTTATCTAGTAGCCCGACATACTCAGAGCTTCCGTTCCTTAGAATTTCCCCGCACCGAAATCCTGCTGCAACATCAGAGTCTCCCTTCAGCACCCCTCACCCGTACATTAACCCCTACATGGACTACATCAGGTCCCTGCACAGCAGCCCATCCCTCTCCATGATCTCGGCAGCCCGCGGACTCAGCCCAACAGATGGTGGGTTAAGACAGGCTTCCTGTTTTCTGTCATGGTAGCAACTCAAGTTATATTAATCTTGTCAACATTTTCTCCCCCTTGTTCAAAGCAGCTTCAGCAGGTTTGTCAGACATATTCATTATGTCATAAATGTTTCAATACTTCATCAGCCGATCACGGCTCATTTGTACATCTCACAAATGTTGAAACTTCAGGGAGAAGGAGAAAAAAAAAGCCCTGTCTCATTCAAAATTTAAGCTGGAAGGGTGGTGTATGTCTTGTGACATCTTTTGTTTGTGGAGCTGACCTGGGGCGTGATTCTGATCTCCCAAGAAATCCGCTGTATCTGCACTGAATCGAGACAGATTCTTTGTGAGTGTAGATCAGTGTATTACCATGGAGTTCTTGATGTGCGAAAGGCTTGTTAATTAAAATGGCATTTTTCAATCACGTAAAGCATGCACTGACTTATTTATTATATTTAGTCAATAGTCCTGTTAAAGTTATGTAGAATTATTTCAGGTTACCCTGGCCAATGATATGGCCAAATGAAATGATGCTGATATAGAAGAAGTGGCTGATGATCAGGACTAGCCCCTTTAGTTTACATGGTGGGCAATATACTTAAGATATCAATGCTTTGGGTCTTGGTGTGACCGTGGCTATTACTTTCCAGGTTATCTGGGTTGAAGTGAACTCTTGTGATCACTCTTGTCATTACTCTGGCACATTTCCTATTCATTTCAATTGGTATTTTGCTGAAGTGAGCAACAAATAGAGTTGCAAAAAGGCTCAGTCTTGTTAGCAGTAGGTTTTTTAATAATAAAGTAGTTTAACATTTCAAAATTGTAGCATTTGCTGAAGAGAGTTAAAATATAACATACTACCAAACAAATATGTAATGAAGATAATTAAACTATTATTTTAACTGTGGGAAAGATCTTCCCAGTGTATGCAGAAACTTAGCAGAGTTAAACTGCCTTTAGCTGAATTTGAAAAATGAGCGGTGCACCCTATCCAAACGGATAACTAATTAATCCTCGCTTATAAGAACATATACCTTTACAGTTAGTCCATTAGTTATGGTCACATATTCTTATGAGAATAAATTTTAATGACCTATTGTCAGTCAAGGTATATGGCATGCACATAGGGCTTTCCTAGCAGCACTTTGGATGTTGTATGAATCCTTGCTAATTCTACCCTTTTTATTTTAGCTGAAACATTAAAAAAAATTTTTTGAAGGAACAGTTTGAATGCTCAGAAATACATGTTTTGACTCAGGGAGCTTTGGAGCTTTTGATTTAGGATAAACATGATAGAGTTATAATGTCATGGCATAAATTGGGAAAACTCTTGCAATGTATATTTGGGCTCTTTACAAAAGCTAATGTGCAGAACACTTTGCTATCTTTCCTTCAGTAATCTTCAGATCACATTCCTGCACAATTTCATTTATGCTTAAGGTATGCTCCAGTTGCACAAAGAAAGGAGGGAAGGAAACCAGGTATCACACAACCATATGACATTAGCCTGTGTATGTACTTGGTCTCAAGTACACAACGCTGAATTCACTTGCATAGATGTAGGCACATAGTGGTAGCTGACCTGACACCCAGCTGACGCTCCAGAAAGGCAGAGATCTCCTAGAGGTCCTTTGCTGTATTCAGCAGGCCAGTGATAATCTCTGTGAAATTCTAGGATGTCTCAGGGTAGAATTTGGTTCCAGATTCTGGCACCTAAATTTAGGTCTCTGCAGTATAGAAATCTGTGATCTTGGTGTACTGTTTTGCCATTATAGTCCAGTGAGATCTAGGCAGTGCAGTCAGTGGAGCCTTAGAGAACTATTCAGTTCACCCAAATACAGACACTTGCACGTTACCAGCTGAGTCTGGAGCTCTGTCATAACTACTACGATGGTGCTAAGATTCATCTGTCTACGGTGTATGTGTTTGGTGTCAGTTCAGGTCTGTGAAACACCTTGCCTCGACTCCAGCTGCCACTTCAGAACGGCAGTTTTCTCCTCTAAGGCCTGTCTCATACCGGCCAGCCTCATGTAAGTGCCTTGGATACCCAGGGGCTTTCAGATGGCACGGGGCACTCGGGTGCGGACAACACAGTTGAGTACGTTCTGTCGTAATGCTCATTCCCTGAACTTTGATCACTGACTGTCTACACAACCTTAGCCTTTCATAAGTGCAAGCTAAACTGACTAGCTTAAGCTTCTTTCTTTGGGTTTTAAACAAATACATCTTAGTTTGTGCTTCCTCTAGGCTCACAGCTCATCTTCGATCAGTTACCGCAGCCCAGGTGTTTTGCAGCACCTCGTGAAAATGCAGTAACTGGATTGAGGCATTGGAGATACTTCAGTAAAACAACATGCTTATTGAAAAGCTGTTAAATTTGTTCTCTGGAATCCATAGTTCATTGTGTGATCGGTCAGACATACAATGAAATGCTTTTTTCAGGTGTAGGTTCCTGGTATCAGATAGTCCAAGTCGTGGCTTGGGCACTACTAGAATGCAAATAAAAAAACCCTGTGATTTAAAGGGGTACTTGCACATAATGTACTAATAAGATAATGGACACCATGGCTTAAGTCATATAGCATTTGAACTGTGAAAACTTGTGAGTTGTTACTGTTCTTCTGAAAGTCATAGCGAGATTTCTCTTGCTACCCTAATTGCTTTAGGGCAGTTAGATAATTAGGTCAGTGTGCTATTGGGCTCAGTCTGTCGACTCACAGATCTGGGGATGGCCAGGAGCCAAAACAATCTGGAACATAAGGAAGAGTAGTTTTGTGTTCAGTACAAGTCTTGCCAGCTGTAATTAATGACTGCCACAGCAGCAGTAATGGTAGAGTGTCTTCTGTCTTGTCACTTCACCTTACCCAGCAGAATCGGTGGGCCGGGGGTGGCTGAGGACTCCTCTGAGTAACACAGAGGGTTTGGGGCAGGGGTAAGGACTGAGTTGTTGGTGTGTGTAGAGCAGAGTGCTCAAACGAAGCTCAGCAGTGCCCACAATGCAGAAGCAAATGCCTCCCCTTGTAAAAAAAGCGGGGGCAAAGCTGAAGCTACCCAGGAATAAACAGGAGAAAATTCAGGGCTGCGGGCCTTCCCACTTACCCTTCATTTACCCTTCACGCAATACATCATTTAGTAGGCTAATTTTTTATGTTTGAAGAAGGTAGTAAGGAATGATCTTTAAAGAGCACCAGAGCATTTCTCAGCATATGGAACATTTAGTAATGCAATTATGTGCTCACTATGTTTTCTGCAGCAGTTCATTTTAAATTTTGCAGCCAATGTTATTGTTAGTTAACCCAGACACTTATGTCAGAAAACTCAGGAAGTATTTTAAGTGTGTCTGGAAAGATATGGTGGTTGCCTACTACTGTAAAACTTTTAAAATCAGTGATTCAGTGTGACTTACTCCTCTTTTAAAATTTGGTCTGAATATTTTTCTTGCCATTTCACAGAAAGTGGTGGTGGCTGAAGTAGATTGTATTTAATTGAGTAATCAATTTGTAATTTGGAAAAAATACCAAACATGTTTAATTTATCTCAGCTCATTTTTTATGCCATGCCTGTTCCTGTTCAATGTGCTTTTATTTTTCTGAACCTTTCCTGAAATTGGTTGTATTTAACTTTATAATATCAAAAGCACATTCTTCCGTTTTCTTTGGTAAAAATAAAGACAGATTTATACACTTTAGAAATGCCGTCGTTGAATAAACTTTTCTCTGAACTCTAATGCCATGTTTACCTCCTTTTAGTGTAAATGTTGATTCTTTGCTTCTAAGGTTTGCATTTAGGATACCATTCTCTAATGTAAACATAAATTATAATTTTTAATAATACTGTGTAAGTAACAATATTCAAGTTAAGGTGGTAATTCAAAGAATTTCAACTTAAAGTTTTGTTTCCATTCAAGATCCAGTTGCTGGGATCAAAGAAAAATCTCATTAAATAATATGAAAGAATATAAAAATAATGTTGGGGTGTAGCCCATTAACCTAAAGAACTTGAAGTGGTTTAGGCAAACTTACGTACCATCTTCTGGCAAGCAGAGTGTAAAGAACTTTTAACTGTTTTGCAAGTGGGACAAGTAGAGAGCAGAGCGGAAGGCTGCTCACCTCAGGTCACATAGCAAGTCAGAGGCAGGATCGAGCAGATGCAGCCCAGCTTATTTAATGAGTACTTTTCATACAAGCCCGTGAAGTGACCCTCTACTTACTGTAGCATCTGAAGCCTGCTAAGATGAGATGATGTTAAAATTATGTGGATTTTTGTGTTTGTCCAGAGTTGCCCATTAGTTGATGGCATGCTTGAAAACTGAAGGGGAAGAGAAAGCTCACACATTAATTTTAGAGGAGAGAAAGGCTAATATAAGTCATTAGCAGAGGACTGCGTCTCTCATAAACTCACTGACAGGATGTAGAACCTATCTGGTTCATGGTTTTGACTCAGCAAATATACTTGTATGTCATGTACTCTTATATATGAACTTTGAAGGATGGGTTGGCTGTATTCATTGACTTCAGTCTGTCCTCCAAAAAACCTGCCCCTGTGTTGTTCATGGGCAACCAGTGTTTGTCCTGAAGGCATGCTTTGTCCTTGTTTACTCCTAATCTTATACACAAGCTGCCACTGTCAGTGAAAGTCTTCTGGTCCTCTAAGCAGAGACTCCAGAAACGTGAATGCTTGTGAAAGTTCAGCCACGTTGTTACCTTAGAGACCGAGTCCTTTGGGCCAGAGATGAGGTAAATGGCAATAAAGCTCCAGGAAGGTTTTCCTGCTTTTTTATGTCACTAAATAAATCATACTGGTTTCCATTGCTGTCAGCCTGTCACTTTCTGAGTCACTTAATAATAAATATTAAAAAAATGAGATCACCGAGCTCATTAATATTTTATGCCGTGCTGTTTTTTGAATGGTGTCTTTGCAGTATCACTGGTTGAAATGTATTGACCTGTGGTGGCATACTGCAGATGTTGCATTACATTGAAAAATAAACAAGCTGTTTTAATAGCCAGAGAAACCAGCAATGTGATAAAACTTTCCTTCTCGTTTATCTTACGTCATTAACAGTGCTTTTTATGTTGTGTTTTTAGCTCCACATGCTGGTGTCAGTCCAGCTGAATATTATCATCAGATGGCTCTGTTGGCAGGCCAGCGCAGCCCGTATGCAGACATCATTCCTTCAGCTGCCACTGCTGGAGCCGGTGCTCTTCATATGGAGTATCTTCATGCCATGGATAGTAAGTGACATTTTCTAGAAATATAGACAGTCCTGCAAAGGGAACCATGTGGGTTGTTCCTGTTCTGACCCAAAAGGCCTCCACGCAGATAGAGAAGCGGGAGTCAATATAAGCCTCCTCATGAGGCTGGAGGGCCAAAGCCAAATTGGATTACCAAATGTACAAGGGTTACGTCAAGTCTGAAAGTAAACTTTGAAAGTAAGTAGGGAGAGGAACAGGACTGCTCCTGAAAACAGGTTACAGATTTTATTTCCAGCAGGGCTTCGGTGCTTCTGAAATGTCCTTTTCTGTTCACAATCAGTAAGTCACTTTCATCGTTAGGGTATTTCCCTGATGAGCTCTCTGTTAATAAAAGTTTTACATCTGTTTTTCCATTAGGAGAGCATGCTCCCCTCCTTTAGAGAGTGGTAGCCATGCTTACAAGTTCTGTATCATAGACTGATAGACTTTGAGACCACTTCTAAGGTGAAGCAGTTTGCTGAATTCTCAAGGATCCTAACTTAGTTTTCACTAATATTAAAAGCCTTCTTTACCCACTTCAGCATCTTTCAGACGTCTAATCTGTCTCCCTTTCTCTGGTGAAGGAGGAAGAGAGAGCACCCTATGCCAAACTGCTCACTACTGCTGCTTTTGATCAGACAGAAGGGATTATGCAGAGCACTCCCCTCTAGTCATAAGATGATTACATGCTTTCTGGGATGTACTCAGTTCCTTCCAGCAAGGGAAATAAAAGGTGGTGACAGGAAAAGGTGGTGACTGTTGACTCTTGCTTGGTAGTACAGAGCAATACAATAGCAGTAGACCACCTTGTTGTCCCACAGCTTTTTAAAATCTTTGTTAGCATGGAGTTTCTTCTTGCCTGCTGTTGGCTGCATGCCATAGCTGCTGATCTCAAGGAGTGTGGGAGTTGGGAGGTTCACCTCTGGAACACATGGGAATATAGATAGCTACCCCTGCAGAACACATGCCTGGGAGTATGAAGTAGTTGACTGACCAACAATTTTTACAAGAATCAAGCAAGACAGATAGTTGTGGAACTAGGCAGGGAAACTATATTCATTCTGTTACCTTGATAGTGAAGGATTTTTTAATTGAGTTTCTGTTACCAGTCTCACTGCACTGGTAGCGTGCATAGTGATTTTACAGTAATGTAACATACCTTGAACCCACTTCAGAAACATAATAAACCCACACAAGTAGTCTGGACTTAAACTAGAAATTAATGTGCAGGCTTCAGTGCTTGAAAGCTTAAGAATGTGACTTTCTGATTTGGATTTTGAGAGGAATAGGGAGAGACGAGGTATGCTGCTAATGCATTTGATGCATATTAATAATATCTTGCAGAATGGAAACTCTGTTATGCATGGTTCAGGTAACGTAAATCTGCTGCTGTGTTCCAGTTGCAAGGACAAATCCCCAGCTTGTATGAGTGGACGTGACTTCATTGAAGTAAAGGGATCATAGAATCATAGAATAGTTTGGGTTGTGAAGGGACCTGTAAAGGTCCTCTAGTCCAACCCCCCCTGCAATGAGCAGGGATATTTTATACTTCCACTGGTGTTGGTTCCTATTGGGAGCGAGTTTCTGAATGCATGTAGGTAGCATATTTGGATGCAGACTTGATTGAATGGGTCTATTAAGTCTATAGGAAGATGGATGCCAGAAAAGAAAAACAGAAGACATTACAGTACTCATACAAATAATGGCATTTACACAAAGGACCTTCATGTGTTAGTTGAGATTGTGTATGCTGTAATCTACATAGAATTACAGCTTCTGCATCCCCAGAATGTTATCACTTCTTACTTAAGGGAAAATGTTTTGACCTTTGCCCATAACTTCAGCCCATTCAGAAAAGGTACCTAAACACTGTCTTTAATATGGATATTTGCTGTCACCAGCTTTAGCTACAATATATTTGAAATGTACTCTTTAATTTGGTTTTGTGTTTGTTTTTAAAAATTAAGATCACACATTTGAGATTCATTATAGCAGCAACTTTTCAATTAGGGATTATTTCAGAGTTAAAGCAAAAAATGTGGAGCAGTATTATGCAAATGGGTTATTTTTAAACAGTAAGTAGAGAATTAAAATAAGAGTGAATCCTAGTAAGGTCACTCAGCTCACCTTCTGTATTTGATGAGAATGTGTTTAGTCAGGCAATAGCTGCTTTTATCTAAATAGAGTATGAAGTTACCCTTTTACTTTGTAAAAACTAATTAAAACTATCTTAACTTGCGTGGTTATACAGTAAATTAATTGTCATTAAGTAGGAATCTGAATGTCCTATCATTCATCATGGTAAAGAAAACCCCTTTCTTCTTTGTCAGAATTTTAGATTAGAAACGAGAACAAAACAATTAGCAGGAAGCCGATATTAAGACTTTTTTTAAAAAAAACAATAAGAATGCCCATGTTTGCATTTAATAACGAAGTACAGTGATCAATGCAAGGCAATGCCGTTTGTTTGGATCTTTCTTCTTAGGGGTTTGTATGGTGATCTTAAAAGTACTCTTTCGCCTTTGCCCAGTCTTGTCAAAGGAAACAGATTGGTAGTTTCCCTCTTTATCTGCTATCAAATTCTGAGGAATTTGACTCGACTCACTCAAAGCCTGCTGCTCATTTATTCCACACAAGAACCAAATAGATACAAGCAAGACATTGTTCTTCTTTTGTGAAGCGAGTCTGTCTCCTAGTTGTGTGTTTATACAGCATCTAGCACAGTAATTTGGCATCTCTACCCTCTCCAGTAGTACAAATAATAATTCCAACACCAGCATGCAGTAGGCACAAAAGTGTGTTATGTAGAGTTTGTGCAGTTTTGGGCCCTTTGTTTTGCTCTGTAGTGCTGGAAAACTGATTTCAAAATGGGGATGATATGAGTGGGAGAAGCGTTAAACAGAAAGTTAAATCTTGCCTAAAGAGCAGTAGAATTCTTGAAGCTGTGAACTTCACTATCCATAAACTGTCTAATACATTGTGGAAGAATAAGGCCAAGATTGTCTGTGCTTGATTGTTGTTTTTCCTCATCCTTCCTCATCCTGTCCAGTGTGGCATGAAAAGCGGACCAGAATTTTCTTTGCTGCTATAAAGCTTTTCTACAGTTTTGGTGGCCAGAATCCCTGACCAAGTCTTCCTGTTTTTTTGCTTGATCTCGAAGGGTCAGATGTGCTACCTTTAAGTAAAACATCAAAGTAACTAGGAGGGGGGTAGATGGGGAAGGTATTGACAGTACCACAGTAGCAACAACTGAAATTCCTTGTTATGGCTGTAAAGATACTGTATGCCAAAACTGTCTTTTAAGCACTTAAATAATTCAAAAAATCACAGCCTTTTGGGGTTGATAGCTGCATTTTTCACTTAGGGAGTATGTTTTACTCTGCTTTTAAATGGTGTTCAGTGGAAGGCAAGCATGTTCCCATAGGTTTCTAGATTCACCCTGAGAATATTAATATCCTCACTCTTTTGCCTATGCTCACTCAGAGTGGGAGGTTTTACTTTTTCAAAGGTATTAATTGTTGACCTACCTCTTCTGGCATTAGAAACAGTGATAGCAACCCAACTGATGTAAAGAATTTGGCCAGCCTGAAGAGTTAAGACAATGTAAGAAGCTTTGGCCTGGGTTTGATTTCTTATTTTCAGGCACAGTTGGAGAATGAGGGTGGAGTAGCAAAGCCATTCCTTTTCCTCTCATACTGATGACAGATTTACCATTTTGAAAACTAAGAGAAAATTTGTGACAAACTTTCATGAACTGAAAACAAAGTTTACACATCTGTGAGCAGAAACCAGAAGGAAAAGAAAGAAAGGAAAAAAGCTTTAATGTAAAAAAAAAAATCAAACTTACCATGTTCACAGCCTTCAACAAAAACTAGTGCCTGCGACAGGTTCAAAGAAGTTTGATTTAAAGGGATGGAATAAATGATACATGTCTCCAGATTGCCTTATAAATGATTAAGCAATGCTAAAAACTTCAACTCAGAAATCAAATTCATGGGCAAATTTGCTGGATGGCATATTCAATTTTTGAAATTTATGGTGGAGATAGATATCTGTTATTTTAGAATTGATCTTCACCCCAGGAATAAGATCTTTTCTTCTGACACCTGCTGGATTTTCTGTTGGCACACTCAAGTCTTTACTATCAACTACTGACTTTTCATCACTATAACTTCTACTCCAAAACAAATCTATTCCTAAACAAATCTTCACTGTCAGCTTCCATTTGCATGCTTTGCCAAAGCTGATTTTTTTTTCCAGCACTTGCAGATAGGTAAATGGATTATTAGTGAACCAGTGCTCCTGCATTTTTTGGTTTTAAAGCATTATTGAGTGGGGAATGTAATGCTTCGGTGGGAGAATACTGTGAGCAGATGAACATCTCAAACTGCTAAATAAACATGGAAGTGTTTGTGTTTAAAATAAATGCCTGGGCAAGGCTGAGAAGTTTGATTTGGTATTCAGAGGCACTGAGAAATTGTGACCTATTCCGTTTTATAGTAACATACTAACTAAGACTGATGTTACGCTAAATGACTGGTTTAGCAAACATCCTGCAGTGTAACGAGTGGTCAGCTCATGCTTAAGACTTTTTAGGCATGTGAAACCTAATTAAACCATGAAGATCTGAAAAAAACAGTAATTCCATTTAATTGTATTTTCAGTTTTGAAAGTCGTGGCCTCCCTTGAAGTGAGTTCCCCCTCTCCTGTGGTCAGACTCTATAGAGCTCTTGCCTGGCCTCAGCTGTTGGCTCCCACTGTGAAGCAGAAATACTCCCTTTTTGCGGGAGACTGTTGGTCCTTAGGAGGTTGTTCCCGTCCCAGGTAGATGGAGGGTACTGCCGAATTCCCAGATTCCCCCCAGGTGGGGCCTAAAACAGATGCTGCCTGGAGGAGAAGAGGAAGCCCAAGACTGCTGCGTGGTGTGGCTGAAGCCCGGGCTCTGCCCCTCGCAGCTGGAAGGAGCATCTCTCTCCATCACTGGCTGCAGATCTGGTGTG